GGGAGGCACCAGTTCCTCTCCTTGTCCTGATGTCCTCCTTTCTGAGTTTCCCCTGAGGGTGGGGGGCTGCCACTCTCTTCACTCTCTGTCCCACTTCCTCGCCCACCCTCATGGAGCACTCAGCCCCTGGGCCCTCACACCTTTCTGTGGTGGTTCCCCTTCCCACCAGCTTCCTCTCTGAAAAGTACACAGGAGGCCAGGCGCGGTGGCTCACATCTGTAATCCCAGCACTTTGGGAGGTTGAAGTGGGTGGATCAAAAGGTCAAGAAGTTTGAGACCAGCCTGGCCAACCTGGTGAAACCCCGTCTCTACTAAAAATATAAAAATTAGCTGGGCATGGTGGTGGGCGCCTGTAATCCCAGCTACTCAGGAGACTGAGGCAGGAGAAGCGCCTGAACCTGGGAGGCGGAAGTTGCAGTGAGCTGAGATCATGCCACTGCACTCCAGCCTGGGCAACAGAGTGAGACTCCATCTCAAAAAAAAAAAAAAAAAATAAGAAAGAGAAGTGAAGGGGATAGAGCCCATCAGGGGTCATCAAGGTGGGGGACAGGCAGCAGGTTCCTACAGGAAGAAAACCCTAAAACTCCTGGTTCTGGTTATTTATTTATTTATAACATCTCACTGTCTTGCTCAGACTGGAGTACAGTGGCTCCATCTCGACTCACTATAATCTCTGTCTCCTGGGTTCTAGCGATTCCCATGACTCAGCCTCTTGAGTGGCTAGGATTACAGGCACACGCCGCCATGCCTAAGTTTTGTATTTTTAGTAGAGACCAGGTTTCACTATGTTGGCCAGGCTGGTCTTGAACTCCTGACCTCAGGTGATCTGCTGGCCTCAGCCTTCCAAAGTGCTGGGATTAAAAGTGTGAGCCACCGTACCTGGTCATCTCATACTTTTAAAATACGTACATTCCATATTTGTCAAGTGATAACTTCTGTGTAACTTATAAAGTACACATAATTCAGGAGGATTGTGCTAAAATACGTTTAACCAATGGGAGTATGTGGTCAAAGTATTCTGGCAAACAAGGATCAGCAGAATTTTTCTGTAAAGGACCAGGTAGGCGGTATCTCAGGCTTTGTGGCCATATGGCCTCTGTGGCAGCAACTCAGTTCTGCAGTTCCTCGTGAAAGCAACCACAGATAAGAGGTAATTGAGTGGGTGTGGCTGTGTTCCAATAAAACTTTATTTCTGGAGGCTGAAATTTGAATTTCAGAGAAATTTCATGTGTCACGAAATATTATTCCACTTTTGGTTCTTCTCACCCCCTACCGCCCCCCACCAAGCATTAAAGAATGTGGAATCCATTCTTAGCAGCCGGCTGTGGGCTGGATTTGGTCCGTGGACCATCGATTCCCAGCTTCTGCTCTAGACCACTCGTTCTCAGTTCTCAGAATTGAGCCTGCTTCAGACTTACCTGGGGAGCTTTTTTCCAAAATGCATATTCCAGGACTCCAGCCCTGATTTGGTAGATTCTCAGAAAGGCCCCAGAACCTGCATTCTAACAAGGAGCCCAGCTGAGTCAGACATAGGTAGCCCAGAGACCACATTTTTCTTGTTGTTGTTGTTGAGACAGAGTTTTGCTCTTGTTGCCCAGACTAGAGTGCAATGGCTTGATCTTGGCTCACCACAACCCCTGCCTCCTGGGTTCAATCGATTCTCATGCCTCAGCCTCCTGAGTAGCTAGGCTTACAGGTGCCTGCCATCACACCTAGCTAATTTTTGTATTTTTAGTAGAGACGGGATTTCACCTTATTGGCCAGGCTGGTCTTGAACTCCTGACCTCAGGTAATCCAGCTGCCTTGGCCTCCCAAAGTGCTGGTATTACAGGTGTGAGGCACCACACCTGGCCCGGAGACCACATTTTAAGAAGCAGAGCTCAAGGGTCTCCAGGATTCTGGTCTGTTCTCTTCAGCCCATTCTGGTCTGTTCTCTGAGGCCTGAGGTATGCCATGCTGTGGGAGACTTTGGCATCAGAATAACTGGCTCCTTCATTACCTTCCAGGAGCTTCCATCCAGTGGGGGTTGGGGGGGACACCACCCACTGACAGCACAGCCCAGTCCCGGGTGCTGTGGGAGCCCTGGGTTCAGCCTGGAACCAGGGCCAGCGTCCCGAGGATGAGGTGCCAAGATGGAACATGCAGGATGACAGAAGGCTGGGCTGCCCTTGAGTGGCGAGGGTGGACTGCCTCCAGGTTCACCTTGATCCCTTCCCTCCCTACCGCCAACTGTCTGGATGACCTTGGCAGGTCCCTTAGCCTCTCTGGATATCGGCATATGACAGTGCCTACCTCAGACGCGTGTGGGGAGGGTTCCGTGAACTAATATGCATGAAGTGTGTCAGCCAGGGCTGCTGCGTGCTATCTCCCTCCCATGTCTTCCCTCAGCCAGGGGACAGGGTGCTGTGAGGGAGTGGGCTGGGAGATTACCTCTGGCCTTGTCTTAGGTGAGAGCAGGGCATGGGCCCCGTGTCTAGGTGTGCCCTGGTGCCCTTCCTAGTGGAACTGGGTGTGGGCAATCTGGTCAGGGCTCCCTCCTCCATAAATAGGCTCACCTGGAGGTCTTTTCCCATTTGAGGCAATGGGATGTGTATGTGAGGCTCTATGACTTACCTTTTTTTAATTTTGAGATGGAGTCACAGAGTCTCACTCTGTTGTCTAGGTTGGAGTGCAGTGGCTTGATCTTGGCTCACTGCAACCTCCACCTCCCAGGTTCAAGCGATCCTTTCACCTCAGCCTCCCAAGTAGCTGGGATCACAGGCACGCGACATCACACCCAGCTAATTTTTGTATTTTTAGTAGAGACAGGGTTTCACCATGTTGGCTAGGCTGGTCTCCTACTCCTGACCTCAAGTCATCCACCTGCCTTGGCCTCCCAAAGTTCTGGGATTACAGGCATGAGCCACTGCCCCAGCCTTACCACCTGCTTTTCTTGTGGTGTAGTTCTTGCTGCAGGCGCACTCAATACATGCCTCAAAACCCACCTGAGATACGGGTGCCTGGGAATAGCTATCCTGACTTTTCCCCTGTTCCATATGGACCCAGAGGCTGGGTCTGGGCTGGCCCAGGTGGGGCCAGAGCAGCTGGATCCAGGCACATGAGGTGTGAAGCTGTGGGCCTTATGCCACATGCAGTGCCTGGAGGAAGGAGAGTGGGGGCCAGGGTGCCGCAGGGCCAGGGTGCCGCAGGGCCAGGGTGCCAAGGGGGTCAGACTGCTGAAAGCATGGGGAGTCACCCATTATTCCCCAGAGTCTGGCTCTAGGGCTGAGATCCAGGAGACATGTGCAGGCCTGTCTTTAGGAGTCTGGCACAGTCCCAGAAAGCCATCTGGACAGTTTTCAGACCCGAGGGGAGGAAAGGGCTGGTGTCCAGAGAAGCTGCCCCAAGGGATGGAAGGTGGAGTGAGCCTGGGGCCAGTCAGGATCTGGGTATACAAGAAACTCCGAGGCTTGTATTCTGGTCCCACCGTGGGACTCAGCCTGAAGAAGACAAGGCGGATGAATGACCGTTTCTCTCTGGCTCAGTTGGCTAAGAGGACTGGGCTGGGGCCGAGGCTCTCAACACACAGGGGCCATTTGACCCTGAGGTTTCTCTCTGGTGGTGGGGATGGGACTGCCTCCAGCTGACCCTGCTTAGGGCTCTGATGGAGGTGGCAGGGGCTCTGGTTCCCTCAAACTGGCCAAGTCCTCTACCATAGCACCCAAGGGGTCTGGGCAGAGTGCAGCTTCCCACCTCCCCCCTGCAGCTTGGCTTGGTGGGCACCTGCCTCCCCTGCCCTCCTGGCCTCAGGGCTAATGCAACCAGCCCCAGGCAGGCGCAGTCATAGCCCTCGAACAGCATGAGGCCCCACTCAAGACTCCTGAGTGCTGGTGGTCAGGGTGGGGGGCACTGTGGGGCAAGAGGTGGACTTGAGGGGTTGGAGCCTCACATCCCCGCCTAGTGGGGTGGACCTTAGGGATATGACTTCTTTGGGCCTCTCTGCCCATTTTTGGAATCTAACAAGAGAAGGAGCCCATCTCCAAGACAATGACCCGCCTTCAGGGAGGGTCTGGCATGTTTTGTCCCCAAACGTGCTCAGCAGAGCACCCCAGGCTGCAGCTTTTGCAGCATCTTGTACACAAAAGGCAGAATCGCCTGCTGATTTAAGAGCAGGGCTCTGGAATCTGTGATCTTGGGCCACTCCCTTCACTTACCATGGCCTTTGCTTCCTTCTTGCCTGTTACATGGATCTGCAATCTACCCCTCAGAGGCGCTGAGGAGCTCACATGAGCCTGTGTCATAAAACACCTAGCACAGCCCTGGCACGCAGTGAGAGTCAGGAGACAGGAGCCGCTGCTGTTACTGTTGACCAGGCAGCAACAGCAGCCCCCGCCCCTGCCGCAGGCGTATAAAAGTGACCACTTGGCCGGGCGCCGGGGCTCACGCCTGTAATTCCAGCACTTTGGGAAGTCGAGGCAGATAGATCACCTGAGGTCAGAGTTTGAGACCAGCCTGGCCAATATGATGAAACCCCGTCTCTAATAAAAATGCAAAAAATTAGTCAGGTGTGGTGGCTTGTGCCTGCAATCCAGCTACTCAGAAGGCTGAGGCAGGAAAATTGCTTAAACCCAGCAGGCGGAGATTGCAGTGAGCTGAGATCATGCCATTGCCCTCCAGCCTGGGTGACAGAGTGAAACTCTGTCTCAAGAAAAATAAAAAGTGACCACTCACTTTGGTCTGATACTTTAGTTCGAATGGCCCTTTTACATTGGTTATTTCATTGCATTCCCCAGCAATCGCTGAGGGAGACACTGGTATCCCATTTTGCAGAGGTGAAAACTGAGGCTTGGCAAAGTTGGGTAGCTTGTCCAAGGGCACACAACTGGTGCTTCTGAAGCAAGACCTGGCTTTCTCTGTCCAAAGCCCTTGGGGAGTCACCCATCCCGGGATCTTGAGGGTCATGGGAAGGAACTGGGTAGTTTTTGGCGGGGTCCTTTACCCAGTGCCGCCTGACCTTGCAGATAAAATACCATGAAGAGTTTGAGAAGAGCCGCATGGGCCCTACCGGGGGTGAGGGCATGGAGCCAGAGCGCCGGGACTCCCAGGACAGCAGCAGCTACCGGCGGCCCCTGGAGCAACAGCAGCCCCACCACGTCCCAACCAGTGCCCCGGGTGAGCACAGGGCCTGCTGGGGCAGATGACCGGAGGCCAGTGCGGTGGGGAAGAAGCCAGAGAGAAGACAGACACGCAGTGCACGTTCATACACACCTGTGGGGACAGAGGACCTGAGGCCAGGCCAGTGGGGTGGGGGAGAAGCCAGAGAGAAGACAGACACGCAGTGCACACATGCATGCACACACGCACACACACTCAGACATACCTGTGGGGACAGAGGATCTGAGGCCAGGCCAGTGGGGTGGGGAGGAAGCTGGAGAGAGACAGACAGACACACACACACACACACGCACACACACACGCACGCACGCACGCACGCATGTGCATGCACACAGACATGGAAAGGACTGCTTCCCAAGTCCCACCCTCATCCAGGATGAGGGCGTGAGCACCAGGGTCAGGCCTGTGCTGGGCCAAGGGCATTGGAAGGAGAGGCCCCAGGTCTTGGGCTCAGAGCCCCCGCTGCAGGATATGCCACACAGGCAAATGTGCACCTGTGGATATCAGCCTTTGAGCTGTGGGGCTTGAGCCGGGTTGGGGTGGGGTAGAAGCGCATGGTGTGGGCTTCTTGGGGGCTCTGGGAGGGGCTGGGTTTGGCGGGACAGTTTCCGAGCCCCGTCTCCTCCCATCTTTCAGTTTACCAGCAGCCCCAGCAGCAGCCGATGGCCCAGTCCTATGGGGGCTACAAGGAGCCTGCAGCCCCAGTCTCCGTACAGCGCAGCGCTCCAGGCGGCGGCGGGGTGAGTAACCCTGGCTGGAGGGGAGAGGCCAGAGGCAGCGGGGCCTCAGGGAAACCTTGGTCGCAGCTCATGGGTTCACCTGACTTTCGCGCCCGCCCCGTTGTATGTGGTGATGAGGATCTCAGCCTGGTGAGCAGAGAGGAGGTTGGTTGGCGTCGTGGGCAGAGGCTGGCTGGGGCTGAGGCCCTGTGTTCCAGAGCTGGTGTGCCATGGGCAGGTGGCTCCCCCTGCTCCAGGCAGGGTTTCCTTACCCCGGCTACCTGCTAACACACGAGGCGCCTTTCTGCATGGGGCTTTCCAGCCCTGGGCATTCTCTCTCAATTCCTGAGGATGCCACCTCACCTCTCAGCTCTCAGGCTGCCCCTGCCGCAGAGGGGCCTCCCCAGCCAGACCCGTTAGAGCGTGTCACCCTGATGCTTTGCATCACTCAGCCCCCGCTGCTGCCTTCAGAGCACTTTGCCAACTGAAAAGAGTTCTTTGTGTTGGCCACCTTCTCTGTGTCCCCTGCTGGGCTGACCCCTGGCAGGGTCCCTCTGGGTCACCTATTCTGGGCCAGGCCCAGAGCAAGTGAATAAGCTCAGGCAGGAACGGGGGCGGGGTCAGGCTTCCTGAGCCCTCAGAGCTGAAGTCCTGCCTCACCGCACCCATGGGTGTCGATTGGCCGCCCTCACCAAGCTCCTGGCAGGCTCAGCACTTCCAGGCTGGGTGCCTGGGAATTCAAAGTAGCTCACGTAGGAGCAGAACAGATACTTAGAGAGATAAAATCGCCTGAGACAGTGGCGGGCTGGAGCCTCATGCTCTGGGCACACAGAGGGATGTCAGGACTGCCGGGGGTGCTGTGGGCGCAAGAGTTGGTCTGAAGGAAAGGTTCCCGGCAGCCCAGCCAGTCCTTCCCTCCTCAGCGGGTCTGTCCTGGATGTGTGGGGTCCATCTGAATATAGAGCCACCTCCCTGCCCTCTGGGGCTTATGTTCCAGTCAGGAGGACAAACAAGAAAGCAATTAGAAAATAGATATATAACGTAAGGTCAGCGGGGACGCACGCTGTGAATAGAAACAGCAGGGTGAGGCATGGACACACAGCAGCTGCATTAGCGGTGGCTCATGCCTGTAATCCCAGCACTTTGGGAGGGCTAGGCGGGTGGATTGCTTGAGGTCAGGAGTTTGAGACCAGCCTGGCCAACATGGTGAAACCCCCTGTCTACCAAAAATACAAAAATTACCTGGGTGTGGTGGCGTGTGCCTGTAATCTGTAATCCGAGCTACTCAGGAAGCTGAGGCAGGAGAATCTCGTGAACCCAAGAGGCAGAGGTTGCAGTGAGCCAAGATCAAATCACTGCACTCCAGTCTGGGCGACAGAGCAAGACTCCTTCTCCCCCCAAAAAACGATATAGGCTGGGCATGGTGGCTCACGCCTGTTAATCTCAGCACTTTGGGAGGTGGGTGGCTCACCTGAGGTCAGGAGTTCAAACCCAGCCTGGTCAACATGGTGAAACGCTGTCTCACTAAAAATATAAAATTAGCTGGGTATGGTGGTGCATGCCTGTAATCCCAGATACTTGGGAGGCTGAGGCAGGAGAATCTGAACCTGGGAGGTGGAGGCTGCAGTGAACCAAGATCGAACCATTTGCATTCCAGCCTGGGCAACAAGAGCAAAACTCCGGCTTAAAAAAAAAAAAAAAGACGTGACATTTGAGCAAAGTCCTCCATAAAGGAAGGAGTGAGCCGAGGACAGCAAGCGCAAAGGCGCTGAGGCAAGGATATTCTAGGAAAGTTCACAGAGCCACAGGAAGGCCAAACTGACGAGAGAGTGGGAGAGGGGAGGAGGTCCGATTACGCAGGGACTGGTGGGCCCCAGGAAGGCCTCTGGGACCTGTGATCTGTTCAGACCAGTGTAGGTTTTTGGAAGATCACCCTGGCAGCTGTGTTGAGAAGAGGCAGTAGTTGAGGGTAGAAGCAGGGAGACCGTCAGGAGGTCGTTGGAGGATACAGGCATGGATGGCAGCAGCTCGGCCCAAGATGGAGGCAGAAGTGGTGCTGAGAGAGACCGAGATAACTTCATGAGAGGTCTATAGACCTCTTGGTTTTCAGACTGTCCTGTGGATCCTCAGAGACAAGTCAAGGGCAGTGAAGGTCAGGGGAGGTGGAATGTTGCCTGTAGCTATAAGATTTCTTTTTCTTTTTTTCTCTCTCCTTTTTTTTTGAGACAGAGTTTCGCTCTCGTTACCCAGGCTGGAGTGCAATGGCGCGATCTCGGCTCACCGCAACCTCCGCTTCCCAGGTTCAGGCAATTCTCCTGCCTCAGCCTCCTGAGTAGCTGGGATTACAGGCACGTGCCACCATGCCCAGCTGATTTTTTGTATTTTTAGTAGAGACGGGGTTTCACCACGTTGACCAGGATGGTCTCGATCTCTTGACCTTGTGATCCACCCGCCTCGGCCTCCCAAAGTGCTGGGATTACAGGCGTGAGCCACTGTGCCCGGCTCTCCTTTTTTTTTTAAACTCCATCCTGGTAGTAGGTGATGCTGTGGGATTTTGTGTGCCCTACTGGACATGACCTAGATGATCTAGGGCTTCAGTGGCAGATTTTGGCTGAGGCTTGGAAGGTGGAACCTGGTAGACACCTCTTTTGTCCCTTGAAGATTTTTCTCCCATGGAAAGGTCTTTGTCCTGAACTTTGAAGTCTTCTCCCAGACCCATCATGGCTTCTTTTTTTTTTTCTTACTTATTTATTTATTTTAAAGATGGGGTTTCACCATGATGGTCAGGCTGGTCTTGAACTCCTGACCTCAGGTGATCCATCCACCTTGGCCTCCCAAAGTGCTAGGATTATAGGCTTCTAAAAGAAACTACTGGTGCGGCTGGGCACGGTGGCTCACACCTGTAATCCCAGTATTTTGGGAGGCCAAGGCGAGTGGAACGCCTGAGGTCAGGATTTTGAGACCAGCCTGACCAACATGGTGAAACCCTGTCTCTACTAAAAATAGAAAAATTAGCTGGGCATGGTGGCACCACATGCCTGTAATCCCAGGTACTCGGGAGGCTGAGGCAGGAGAATCGCTTGAACCTGGGAGGTGGAGGTTGCAATGATCAAAGATCACGCCATTGCACTCCAGACTGGGCGACAAGAGCAAGACTCTGTCTCAAAAAAGGAAGAAAGAAACTATTGGTGCTTATAATCATACAAATAATAGCATACAGGGCATGGGCTTTTTCTTTTTTGAGACGGTGTCTTGCTCTGTTGCCCAGGCTGGAATGCAGCAGTGGTGCTCACAGCTCACTGCAGCCTCAACCTCCTGTGTTCAAGTGATCCTCCCACCTCAGCCTCCTGAGTAGCTGAGACTATAGGCATGTACCACTAAGCCCAGCTAATTTTTTATTTTTTGTAGAGATGGGCTCACGCCTAGCACTTTGGGAGGCTGAGGTGGGTGGATCACTTGAGGCCGGGAGTTTGAGACCATCCTGGCCAACATGGTGAAACCCTGTCTCTACCAAAAATACAAAAGTTAGCCAGGAATGTCGCCTATAGTCCCAGTTACTTGGGGGGCTGAGGCAGGAGAATCACTTGAACCCAGGAGGTGGATGTTGCAGTGAGCTGAGATCATGCCGTTGCACTCCAGCCTGGGTGACAAAGCAAGACTCCATCTCAAAAAGCAAAGGGGTCTCACTGTGTTTTCCAGCCTGGTCTCAAACTTATGGGCTCAGGCAGTTGTCCTGCCTTGGCCTTCCAAAGTGCTGGGATTACAGGCATAAGCCACGGCGCCTGGCCTGTGGGTCGTATTTTTAGACACTACTCTGGCATCATGGCTGGTGGGCCTTACCGCAGTCCTGTTCAGTGAGGTGGGGCAGAGCCGATGTGACCTCGGTCCCTGCCCTGCCTCTGGCCCTTGGTAGCTGCCAAAGCTTGTAAAAGATCGACAGCTCTCAGTAAGCAAGCAAGACACAGAGGTGAGAATCTTTGTAGCAAAGGCTGGGGCCCCATTTCTGAGTTCACTGCTACCCTAGGCTCTGTTCCAGGGTCCTGGAGAGTTAGACTCAGGTGAGCTGGCATCCAGGGCCCTAGGCTGACCGAACTTCCCCCACAGAAGCGGTACCGCGCGGTGTATGACTACAGCGCCGCCGATGAGGACGAGGTCTCCTTCCAGGACGGGGACACCATCGTCAACGTGCAGCAGATCGATGACGGCTGGATGTACGGGACGGTGGAACGCACCGGCGACACGGGGATGCTGCCAGCCAACTACGTGGAGGCCATCTGAGCCCGCGGCACCCCCCACCTGTCTTCAGCGCATTCCACGGCATCGCATCCGTCCTGGGCGTGCCCCGTCCATTCTTCAGTGTCTCTGTTTTTTAAAACCTGCCACAGCTTGTGATTCCTATCCCTCCTCCAGCTTCCTTTGCCAACTGAAGCCTTCTTCTGCCACTTCCGCGGGCTCCCTCCTCTGGCAGGCTTCCCCCTTGACTGACTTCTTGGTTTTCTCTCTGGATGGAACAGGCCTGGGCCTCTCTGGGGGAGGGCGCGGCCGGTGTGCGGGGCTGGAATGGGAGACCTGTGGGCCCCTGGGCCTCACCTGCCCCTCTGTTCTCTCCCTTCATGTCCTCCTGCCCAGCTCCTCACACACCCACACATTCCAGGGCTGGGGTGAGCCTGAGACTCCCAGGACCCCAGGGCAGGGGCTCCCCACGTTCCCCAGAGTGGGATCTGCATGTCGGCTCCTGGGATGGCGACAGGGGCTCCTTTGTTGTGTAGGGAGCAGTGCGATGGGCTCTACCTCTCCTTCTCAAAGAGGGGGCTGCTGCCCACCCTGGGTCTCTCCCCACCTTCTTCCTCCTCAGGGGCAGCAACAGGAGAATGGGGTCCCTGCTGTGCGGCGCGTTCCTCCCCTCCCGGCGCGTTCCTTCACACACTGTGATTTTGCCCTCCCACCCATGCAGGCCCGTACCGGGCAAAGAGCTCCCCAGGAAGCACAGCTTGGGTCAGGTTCTTGCCTTTCTTAATTTTAGGGACAGCTACCGGAAGGAGGGGAACAGGGAGTTCTCCCCCGCAGCCCCTTTCCCCACACCCACCCCCAGTCTCCAGGGACCCCTGCCTGCCTCCCAGACTGGAAGCCGTGGTCCCGAGGTGTGGGGCAAGGGTGACCTTGGGCCATTTGGTCTTCAGCCTCCCTCAGCCCCCAGGACCTGGGTTAGGCAGCTGCTCCTGCCTGCTCTCATGGGAAGATGTCTCGGAGCCTTCCGTGGCCTCCCAGTCCCAGCGCAGTGCCAAGTGGACTTGGAGCTGCACAGAGGCAGCGGGGACCACTGTGTCTCCAAGACCGGGTGTGCGGAGGCAGGAGCGTGTGTGTCTGCAGGTGTCTGACATGCAAGTGTGTGAGTGTGAGCGTGAGAGATGGGCAGGGGCGTGTCTGGAGATGTCTCTGGGCCTGTGTGTGGCTGGGGCCTGTGCGGTACGAAGAGCCCCAGAGAGTTTCCTCGGAACCTGCATCGAGAGGGGAGGGCTCCTGGGGAGGAGAGGTTCCTTAGGTTTTCTTTGGAAGGAAGTTCCTCCTTCCCCATATCTTGGAGTGCAGGCAGCCCACCAGTCTGCCCTTCGCAGCGTGCAGGGTGGAAGGTGAGGGGCTGCCGCTGGGTCCGCCGCCTGCCGGGGCTGAGGCTGGGGGAAGGCTGTCACTCCAGGCATATTTTTCCCCATCTCTGTGTCTGGGCTGCAGAACAGGGTGCCAGAAGGACCCTGTGTCACCCACAGTGTGAGTGTCTCCCTCTGGGGGCTCTTCCCCTAGACCCCCCTCACTTACATAAAGCTTCCTTGAAGCAAGAAAGAGGGTCCCAGGGCTGCAAAACTGGAAGCATAGCCGCCGGGCCGGGGAGGGGAAGGCGGTGCCCTGCCCGGCCCCTGCTTTCTGCTCAGGGGTGGCCGCAGCAACGCTGGCCCCACTCATTTCATCTCTGGTTTTCTTGCCACCCCCTGGGAGTCCCCATCCCATCTTTGCCCTGAGCCCAACCAGGCCCCCCCGCCATTGGCCTCTTGTCCCTGCACACTTGTACCCACAGGTGAGGGGCGGGACGTGCAGGCGTTGGCCAGTTCAACAGTCAGTCATTATGGGTGTTTTTGTCAACTGCTTGTGAATTGGTCTGGGGATACCTGCCCCAAATCAGGTTGAGGAAAAGATGGTGGGTGAGGAGGCCCTGCCTGACAAGTCCCCTTTCCCTTTCTTGGCCCGTCTAGGTGGAGGCAAGTGAAATATCTTATCTTGGGCAGTGTGGGGGCTGGGGGACGCAGAGAATCCCTTGGGAGTCTTGGGTGGCACTGGTGCATTCTGTTTCCTCTTGATCTCAAAGCACAATGTGGATTTGGAGACCAAAGGCCAGGGACACATCCCCTTAGAGGACCTGAGTTTGGGAGGGGATGAGTGCAGGGGAGAAGCAGCAAAAAGCAGCCTGTTGTCACTCGGCTTAATTCTCCTTCCCACACAAGGCGAGCCAGTCATGGAAACTTGCTGCAAGCCTGCCCTCTACTCTTCCTGTCCTAAAAATAGGGGCCGTCTTCTTACATAGCCCCAGAGAGAGGAGGGACCGTCACACTGGTGCTGAGGGACCCAGGGGCTGCTGGGTGCCTGCTTCTTACCAGAACCATCCATCCCTAGTAGAGCACAGAGCCCTGAGGGCCGGGCTGGGCTGGGCCCCTGGTCTTCCCTACAGTTCACGAGCTTTTTCCACCCGTCTAATCCCAGGAGAGATGCATCCAAGCCAGAATGTGAATATAACTTTTGTGGACCAATCATAAGAATAACCAGAAGCCCAGTGGTGACAGTGCTTTCTCCCAGCACGGCCTCCTGTTTCCTCCCTCTCGTTTCCCTCCAGGGAAAATGGCTTTATTGCTTCATTTCCGCCTTTCCCTTCTCACACATGCACTTTTGGGCCTTTTTTTATAGCTGGAAAAAACAAAATACCACCCCACAAACCTGTATTTAAAAAGAAATGAAACGACCAAGTGAAATTTGCCTCTGTCCAGACATTTCATCCGTGTGTGTGTGTCTGTGTGTGCGTGTGCGAAGCCACCATTCATCTTTTTATATGGGGTTGTTGTCTCATTTCGGCCTGTGTTGGTCCTCTCCCTCGTGGGCTTGTGCTCGGGATCAAACCTTTCTGGCCTGTTATGATTCTGAACATTTGACTTGAACCGCAAGTGAATCTTTCTCCTGGTGACTCAAATAAAAGTATAATTTTTACCTGCGGACTTGGTTTCCTCTCTCTGGCTCTGAGGTGCTGCTGTGTGTGTGTGTGTGTGGCAGTGAGGTGCTGCTGTGTGTGTGTGTGTGTGTGTATCTAGCGGTGAGGTGCTGCTGTGTGTGTCTTGTCTGGGGGGCTGGCTCTGAGGTTCTGGGGTGTGTGTATGTGTAGCTGTGAGGTGCTGTGTGTGAGTGTATTTAACCAGGAGGTGTTGCTCTCTGTGTGTGTGTCCCGTCTGCTCGGGGGCACTGGCCTATGGCCCTCCTGGGAGCTCTGCTGCCCCTCAGGGAGAGAATGACTTGTCTGGACACCAAGCGATGGTTTGCTGCTGTCTGACAGGCCCTTGCCCTTACTTTCTCCTTGCTGAGAACTCCCACCAACCTACATCTGGCTTCCCACCCACTCATTCCTCTCTGCCAACTTGGCGATGCTCCCGGAAGCTTCCCTGAGCTCCGTCTCCTTACTGTCTCACTTCCTCAGTGACGCATCTGTCTCCCTACTCACCGGAGCCCCCGGGGCAGGCGATGAGTCTAATTGTCTCTGAATCTCCTACCTGCGCAGGAGCAGGTGCGGAGCTGTTGAATTAATGAATGAGCTCAGCTGGGGAGCAGTTCCAGCACTCTGCCACTGCCAGGCAGAGAGCAGGAGCTCAGCACTTTTGAGGCGTGAGATGACGGGACGCCCCGCAGTGGGACGGGATCTGCATGAAGCTGTGTGTAAGGTGGCCCGGCTGCCCACGGCACTGTTCACAGTGCCTTTGGGATGTGATCTTGAACACACCTCCTTTTCTTCTTTCTTCCTGGCAGCCCTGTGAGAGAAACTGCTTACGGAGGAAGGGACTCACTGAGGCCCAGAAAGGCAGAGCAGATTGGTGGCAGTCCACAGCCGGTGGCAGAGTGGGGCCTGAGAACCCCCACGTGGCGCTCCCGGTCTGGTGCTGTGTCGCCTGGCTGGAGCAGGCCATGTGCCCGTGTCCTTGGCAGGCCTCAGATTCATGTCTCTTGGGCTCCGTGTTTTGCTCCAGGTGCCTAGGGTCTGTGACTGGCCAGAAGGCCAGGCAGCCTCCCCTCTTGTTAAGTGGGCTTGGGAAGAGGACAGAGGCAGACAGGGGAATTGGGCCCCACTCGGTGCTGTCCACCAGCCTCAGGTCCAGCCGCTCAATGGCATTTCCTCTTAGGGCTCAGAACGAAAGCACTCTCCAGCCTCAGAATCACAGCAGGATGGAGAGGAGGAGGACTCTTCTGAGCTAAGCGTGAGGCGGCCAGAGTCAGCCAGCTGGGGCTGGGTGGGGAGCACCTGAGGTGGCCCTGGGTGGTTATTTAGAGACAGCACTGACACCTGCTCCCCTCCAGGGGTGCAGGCAGCCTGACACTTTCCCAATAGAAGGAAGTTACTTGGCAAAGCTTGCCTCATAGCCCACCCCACTCCCCAGGAGGCTCCATTCACCTTCAGAGCTATTTGAGGGAATAGTCTGTTTTGGGGGGCATTGTTGCGGGGTCTCCACTCCCTGCTCACAGAACGCTCTGCCTCCTGGGAGTGGCCAATGGGAGGAGTTTCTAGACCCCCTTATGGCAGTGGCCTAAGTTCCCGAGGTCTAACATTGTGAGGGGATTACCAATATGCCTTACCCCCAGGCCTTTAAAAAAAATACTATTTGGGGTAGAGGCCAAGGAGATTAGGCCTCAGAAATGTCCTAGGGAATTTTTAAAATTTAATAGGAAATAATTAAGGCTTATGAAAAGGCACAATACAAGACATAACTGAGTTAAAAAAAATTATAAAGCCAGGCTCATGGTTCATGCCTGTAATATCAGCACTTTGGGAGGCCAAGGCAGGTGGATCGCTTAAGCTCAGGAGTTTGAGACCAGCCTGGGCAACATCACAAGACTTTTTTTTTTTTTAAGACAGAGTTTTGCTCTTGTCGCCCAGGTTGGAGTGCAATGGCGCTATCTCAGCTCATTGCAACCTCTGCCTCCCGGGTTCAAGCAATTGTCCTGCCTTCCTGCCTCAGTCTCCCAAGTAGATGGGATTATAGGTGGCTAATTTTAGTATTTTATTTTTTTCTGAGACAGAGTCTCACACTGTTACCCAGGCTGGAGTGCAATGGTGCGATCTTGGCTCACTGCAACCTCTGCCTCCCAGGTTCAAGCCATTCTGCCTCAGCCTGCTGAGTAAATGGGATTACAGGTGTGTACCACTTTGCCCAGCTAATTTTTTGTATCTTTAGTAGAAATGAGGTTTCACCATGCTGGCCAGGCTGGTCTCAAACTCCTGACCTCATGATCTACCTACCTCGGTCTCCCAAAGTGCTGGGATTACAGGCGTGAGCCAGCGTGCCCAGCCGGTCTCTGATAGTTCTAAACTGTGAAGCATTAGGTAAGTTTCTGACCATCTCCGAGCCCCATCTATGAAAGACTCCTAGCGTGGTTGAAATTGCACCATGTGTGCAATATCCGGCCCAATGTAGAAAACGTATAAATGTTAGCGCCATCCCCAGGGGCAGCCCATTGAGACTCACATGAGACCTTTGTCTGTGTCTCCCCATAATGTGACCTTTAGAACTTGCCAGTGGCGCACCCAATACCCAACCAGTATTTTTCTGAGATAATCTGCCCGAGGTGTGTGAGAGGAAAGCGAAGCAAAGGAAGTCAGGGGGACTCATTCCGGGGGGAGCCGGGTAGAGATTCTGTCTCCTCCTACATCCATAGCATGCAGGCTCCATTTAGATACAAAGGGGTGGGATTGGGTTCCTGGGGAGAAATTGAGCCCCTTTGGTTCTGCGGTTCTGCGGGGTCTAAATCTGGCAGCTCCTTGGCTGTCAACCCCCAGGCTTTGTGATTGGTTGGCTGTGGTTGGCGGGAGGGGGAGCGGGTGGATGCTGCTGCTGGAGCTGCAGCATCCTTTAGTCTCAGGCCCCCAGGAGGGGGAGGGGAAAGAACCGGGGCTGAGCCGTGGAGGGCAGAGGAGCCATTTCTGTCCACCGACTGCAACCTCCGTGCTCACAGCTCACGTTTCACCAGAATCCAGGGGCCGGGTCGGCCTAGGAATCCGCAATGCTGGATATTTTCATCCTGATGTTCTTTGCCATCATAGGCCTGGTCATTCTGTCCTACATTATCTATCTGCTCTAGTGGCCTGGAGCTGCGGCGGCCGGAGCCTGCTGGAGAACAGCTCAGAGGGAGGGATGGAGCTGAACGGCCGAGCGCCCTGCTTGCTGACGCACCGGTGGATTTTTGCTTCTGGATGTTATCTCGGGTATTGATTCAAAAAAAAAGAAAGAAAGAAAAGAAAAGAGAGTTTGCTTTCCTATTTTTTTCTCAGACCACTCTGAAAAGAATAAGAAATGCCAGCTTCTTTCTTTGGGTCCTAATTTAAAATAAGACTTTAAAAATTAAAAATAAAATCCACAGTGCAAAGGATTTTTAGGTAGAATGGGTTGGGAGTGATGGGTGTGGCGGGGAGGGAATATTATTTCCTAATTTCTTCTTCAAGTTAGGTGCTCACAGCCCCAGTTGTCTATTTTCTTCCGGTAATTAAAGGTAAAGCACATCTTTGCATGTCAGCACAGTTGCAGCACAGCTGTTTACAACTATGCTTGTATAATTGCATTACTTAATTATTAACTCATTCTTATTTGAGGGTGAGATAGCAAATAAATTTTACGTGGGGTGGGGTTTTGGGGAAGATGTCCATTTTTTCCCAACTGTGGGATTTGGTGGAGAGGAGGGAGGAACTCCTGGTGCCTGGGAGCTGATACCTTTGCAGCTGTCCCCATCTGAGCCTTTTTTGTTTCTGGGTTTCTTACAGCTCCTGGTCTCCAGTCCAACAAGAGGCCTCTCATCCACAGCAGCGCTCCCGCTGCCCAGCAGACCTCTTCCAGAGCCTTCCAGACATGGCTGACCCCTGGCATGCAAGGGGCTTTTTGAGCTGAGAGGCACTTGGCTGGGACATGAGGAATTCATGGACATGGCTGGCAGATACTGCATGTGTTTGAGCCGTAGTTAGAGGGGATTGAGAATACAGAAAGTTGAAATGGAGACTCATTAAAGTTACAGTGGAGAACTGCCCAAAAATTTCATTTTGAATTAAGGAAACTTCAGTTCATGTTAAATTTCCTTCTATCTAAATGCAACTGCACATTCCACTCGAATATGTTCCTTCCTTCTCACACACAGGGCCCCTTTGTTAAACTCATGGTCAAGTTCAAGTTGTCCATCTTCATCTATGAAGTAGTCACTTTATCACTGTCTGTCCAGATTGCACAATGTAGGGTTTTGTGGTTTCTCTTCTGTCACTATCCAGCCAGAAGGAACTTGCCATTTGAGTTTTTAAAATTTATCATTTCTTTCCACCTTAACCCACTTGTATCCCAGTTTCTCATCGAAAGGGAGAAATGGTTGCATAGTCCTCGTCTTTGCCCCTGACTGAATTGTAAATTACAGAAACATGGTGGCTATACTTATTTAGGAAAAATCTCTTACCCCAAAATGTGTGTGTGTGTGCGTGTGTGTGTGTGCGTGTGTGCATGTGTGTTTTAATTGTCAAAGATCTTTTCTGGAAGAAAACTTTCCACATAGTTCTCTGACTCATTACAGTTGAAGAAACTCTATATTTTGGGATTCTGAGTAGAATTGGCCTGCAAATCTGGTGTGTTTATTCCTTTTACAAGTGTATCATAATTGTTCTACATTTGATTTTCCCTTCTAGCTTAAAATAAACAAGGAGAGCCAGGCGAGGTGGGTCATGCCTGTAATCCCAGCACTTTGGGAGGCCGAGGCGGGCGGATCACCTAAGGTCAAGAGTTGGAGACCAGCCTGTCCAACATGATGAAACCCCATTTCTACTAAAAATACAAAAATTAGCCGGGCGTGGTGGCGGGCGCCTGTAGCCCCAGCTACTCAGGAGGCTGAGGCTGAAGAATCGCTTGAACCCAGGAGGCAGAGGTTGTAGTGAGCCGAGATCATGTCACTGCACTCCAGCTTGGGAGACATAGCGAGACACTGTCTCAAATAAAATAAAATAAGATGAAAAATAAATAAACAAGGAGAAAGCTTAAATTAATAGTTTTTAGTAATAACATTGTGTCCAATTTCCATGTTTTAAAAGAAAAATTGAGGCATTATATGTCACAATTAAAATGGAAAAGCTGGGCTTAAAATTTACGGACAAGGCCGGGCGCAGTGGCTTACGCCTGTAATCCCAGCACTTTGGGAGGTCAAGGTGGGCGGATCACTTGAGGTCAGGAGTTTGAGACCAGCCTGGCCCATATGGTGAAACCCTGTCTCTACTAAAAACACAAAAATCAGGTGGTGTGGCAGTCGCCTGTAATCCCAGCTACTTGGGAGGCTGAAGCAGGAGAATTGCTTGACCATGGGAGGTGGCGCTTGCAGTGAGCTGAAATCACACCTCTGGACTCCAGCCTGGGCGACAGAGCAAGATGCCATCTCAATAATAATAATAATAATAATAATAATAATAATAAATTATGGACAAGAAAAAAACACTATTCTGGAAGCTTTGTTTTGGCAACAAATTATGTAACCTTCTACAAGTCATTTAAACTTTAGGGCTAGGCCAGGCACTATGGCTCACACCTATAATCCCAGCATTTAGGGAGGTAGAAGTAGGAGGATAGCTTGAGGCCAGGAGTTCCAGACCAGCCTGGGTAACACAGCAAGACCCCCATCTCCACAAAAATAAAAAAATAAAAATAAATAAATACATAAACTTTAGGTCTTCTGTTTATTTTGTCAATGAAGTGTTAGGCCAAGATTGCGTTATCTCTTTGGAAACTATATCATTGAGAACAGAATTTCCCATGGAACAAACTTTTTTTTTTTTTTGAGATGGAGTCTCACTCTATTACCCAGGCTGGAGTGCAGTGGTATGATCTCGGCTCACTGCAACCTCCTCCTCCTAGGTTCAAGCAATTCTTCTGCCTCAGCCTCCTGAATAGCTGGGATTACAGGCATGCCACCATGCCTGGCTAATTTTTGTGTTTTTAGTGGAGACAGGGTTTTGCCATGTTGGTCAGGCTGGTCTCAAACTCCTGACCTCATGATCTGCCTGCCTTGGCCTCCCAAAGTGCTGGGATTACAGAAGTGTGAGCCACTGCGCCCGGTCTGGAACAAACTCTTAATAGTTTACTGATAGTTCCCTTTTGCTGCTTATTCTCTCCAACAGGACATTTTATAATGAAAATTAAACTGCAAGCCCCCCCGCCTTTTTTTTGCACCAACAGCCAGAATGAGAAAATGGCCATATTTATTTACTCCAAATATATATTATGTCAGTGATAATTTGCCTAAGCTGTTTAAGAAATATTAACAAGTATGATTCTGCATTGTGGTATGTAACAAAAAGATAGGTAATTTGACATACACGGATGCAAGAAGCATGGCTGTGAACTTGGATACATTTAGGAATGATCTTCAGTGGAGCCCTTGATGTGACATTTCCCACAAAAATATTCCTCTAACTCTGGTATAACTTAGTGTTTCGAACTACAATTTCCCTCTTCAAGCCAAGACAGCAGCTCTATGTCCTTACCTAAGTAGTTCAGGCAAGTGCCAGTGTTTGAAGGGGTCCAAATTAGAGTTAGTTATGCTGGTATAGATCTTCAAGGTGTAGTCTAACCAAGCTTGCCCTGGTCTTTTGTGACATCAAAGCTTTTCAGACTGTATTCATACAAAGTTGAAGCAACTAATCAATCCAGTGAAAATAAATCAGCAGGTTTCATTCATGCACTGGTGATATATGCCACTGATTGTAGGTACAAAGTAAGGACAGAACATCACCCATCTCTTCAGTTACTTGTAAAATATGGTTTAAAAAAATAAATCATTACATTTTGGAATAAAAGTGTGATTTTGTGCTTATATTTATGGAATCATATGCCAGCTTATAACAGGGTTTTACTGTGTTATTTTGATAGTTACTTAAATTTTACGTTAAACTATTTGTATTTTGCCACCCCAAAACATAATAAAACACTGAAAAAAGTTACTTCTGTAATGCAAGGTTTTGTATAAATTTTATAAATCTATGTCATAGGGTAATTTTGTCCAATAAAATGTCAATGAGATAAAAATTACTTTGAAGAATTATAAATTACTTAGAAAAAATCAGGTGACAATGCTAAGAATCATTACACTAATACCTGCTTTCTTGATGAAAACAGGGGGTTTGTAGGGAAAATTAATATATTTATTTATTTATTTATCTTATTTTTTGAGATGGAGTTTCACTCTTGTCGCCCAGGCTGGAGTGCAATGGCTCATTCTCGACTCACTGCAACCTCCACCTCCTGGGTTCAAATGATTCTCCTGCCTCAGACTCCTGGGTGGCTGGGATTACAGGTGCGTGCTGCCACCGCACCCGGCTAATTTCTTTGTATTTTTAGTAGAGACAGGGTTTCACCATGTTACCCAGGCTGGTCTCAAACTCCTGACCTCGTGATCCACCCGACTCAGCCTCCCAAAGTGCTGGGTTTACAGGCATGAAACACTGCGCCCGGCCAAGACCTTTCATTTATTTGATCATGGTAGAGCTATAATTAACAGCTTAAATGAAGATAAGTTCTCCCAGAAAAATGGCAATGACTTGCATAATAACAAACTCTGAACAAGTTGGAATGTTTTCAGTTTCGGTATAGTTTTATTAATATGAGTAAATAACAAATTAAACAAAATTTAGCAAATATAAAATATTTAGTATCAAAGACATTGTACCATAAATACTATACTTCTGAAATAGCAATGCATATTTTTCAGTTATATACACCTTTAAGAAAGCAGTGATCTCAGACTATCCACAAGTATTACTTTAAGTCTTTCAAAGGCCAAACCGTTGGGGCTTATGGGTTTTTTTCAGTCTCTAGTTATTTGAGGAATTTTCTGGAATTACATTCTTCTTTTTTTTTTCAATCTCGTCCTTAAATGGAATATATTTGTTTTATTGATGAAAATAATGCAATCTTAGTCCTTTGGAATTTTTTTCTTTTTTAACCTGGAGAAGACTGTTTAATGCAGCTGTCTTTCAGGTCACCTTTCCTAGCTTAGCGATCCCTCAGAAACCAAGGAGCATATGTCCATATCCTGATTCCTTAACAGGTTTCACAGTTACCCGCCAGTGGAAGTGCTACAGAGGTCACACTATTAGTAAGATATCCAATAACCAAAGAGGCTTTTCTAATAGCCTTGTTTTTACACTTCACAATATTTATTGACATAAAAGTCTGTAATCAGACAATTGAGTACTATTTGCATAAAGAGGTTAACCCTTTAGTAACAATCACAAAACGGTTAGTGTTTGTTATTATTCCTTGACATAAGATGGTATTTCCATTTACACCTTCTGTTGGGTATCTTATAATTGGCATGAGAGGGAATCTTCCAAAAAAGCATTAAAGTTTCATGGTTTCACAAGGTACAGAGAACTTATCACAAGATGTATATTTCAATTAGTTTCTAAGGAAGGTGGCATCATTAGTTTGTTAGTACTCACGGTGCATGGTGTGCATAGAAATAAAGATAAAGATAATGTGTTATTGAACTCTCCTTCTACAGGGAGTAAAAAAATCATCCTACAAATCAAAGTCAAAGGAGGCTGAGGAAATCGTTACAAAAAGGAGAAAGGAGCCAGCTCCCAGGACTGCTAACTTAGGCCAATCTTCTTTTTTTTTATTTGAGTTGGAGTCTCGCTCTGCTGTCCAGGCTGGAGCGCAGTGGTGCAATCTCGGCTCACAGCAACCTCCGCCTCCCAGGTTCAAGCCATTCTCCTGCCTCAGCCTCAGCTGGGATTATAGGCACCTGCCACCATGCCCAGCTAATTTTTGTGTTTGGAAGCGGAGGTTGCAGTGAGCTGAGATTGCATCATTGCATTCCAGCCTGGGCAACAGAAGACAGAGGACAGTCCATCTCAAAAAAAAAAAAAAAAAAATTCAAAACCCAGACCAAATATGTTTTACATTAAACTATGCTTCTTTTGCAAACTTGCTGAAAATAATTGCTGTGGAGACTGGGATAATTCAAGGAATTCAAGGAAACTTTACAATGCCAAATTTCTTTAAGGAAATGAAAATCTAGCATACATTTAGTAAAATATTGAAAATATTTACTATTGCCAGACATGGTGGCTTACACCTGTAATCCCAGCACTTGAGGAGGCTAATGTGAGTGGATCACTTGAGGTCAGGAGTTTGAGACCAGTCTGGCCAACATGGCGAAATCCCATCTCTACCAATAATACAAATAAATTAGCCGGGCATGGTGGTGCACACCTGTAGTCCCAGCTACTGGGGAGGCTGAGGCAGGAGAATCACTTGAAGCAGAGAGGTAGAGGTTGCAGTGAGCCAAGATCACACCACTGCACTCCAGCCTGGGCAGCAGAGTGACACTTCATCTCAAAAAAAAAAAAAGTCACTACTTATATTTAAATACTTATTTTTTTTCTTATTTTTTC